GATCTATTTTAGTCTGGAAATGCCAAAAAACAAGACTGCTACTTGTAATGTTTGTAAAGCCAGCATGCCGAGAGTACAGCTGCATCATACAATACAACCAATTTAATCAAGCACCTGCAGAGGTTTCACGTGAAAGAGTACCAGGAGTTCATGCTAGCTAGGCAGGAAGATGCTACCAGGCAGCGACTCTCAATGATGCTTTCCAGAAGCGCAAGAAACTTTCAGAAGACGACCCAAAGGCTAAAGGAATTACAGAGAAGTTGCTAAACTTCATCACACTAGATGATCGGCCACTATCTGTAGTGGAAAATGTCAGATTTCGCAGCCTGTTGGAGCACTTAGAGAAGGTATAATCTGCCATCCAGAAAATACATTTCAGAGATGAACTGTACAACTGAGCCTCATTACCGTCAGCGGCGCAGTTAGATGTTAAAGCCATGAGCTTCGCAACTAATATTTCGACCTCAGATGTGAGCCCAGTGTCTCTCATAAGTCTCACTGCACACTGGGTGAACTCAAAACGTAAACGCAATACCAACAATGATAATGATAATATTAAAGTAAAAAGAGTCTCTGTATCCGAATCTGTATTGGTATCGGTAGTGTGTATCGGAATCGGATTGGAACTGAAAAAATGTGGATCGGCCCATCACTAACAAAAACACATTACTTTTCCTGTACTGTGCATCTCTATTCACCCCCTACCCTGTCTAAAATGCTCTGTTAGAGCTCCTGTGTCTTTAAGCCCCACCTCCAAATGAGCCTAGTGTGCTCTGATTGGTCAGCTTGCTCACTCTGTCCTGATTGGCCAACTGCCAGAGTGTTTCCACTCCTGTCTTCAAGGAAACTCAGAGCTGAGAGAGGCCATAGGAGCAGACAGGATGAGAGCTGTGTGTGCTCTGCTGTGAGTCGCCCTGTAAAACCCGAAATAATAATTGAAAACTCAGAAGTGCTGAGTTGGATTTGTCAGGGGTTTTTTGTACCACAACACACATATTTACATATGAACTTATGAACTTCACATGTACAGGCTTAAAAAAAAGCTCTGGCTCAATCTTTAGGTCTCACAAGCAAAATCAACATTTTGCTAATAAAGATATGATGACAATAGTAGATAATTCTTTTCCATCCTTAGAAGACACGGCCTTCACCAAGTTTAGCTGAATTCTTTTTGAATACATTTTCAGTGCGCTATCAATCATCAGATTCACCCACTTGTGGAAGGAGTCCAAAGCACAATCAACGTTACAAAATCTTTACGATGTGTTGCGCGCAATTACACACTTCCACAAGAGAGGTCTCCAAATCACTAAAACTTACATAGTGTAGCTTCAAGTTAAACATACACTTCCGTATAAAAAGAATGGGCCAAAATACTAATTTTTGTTACTAATTGTGATGCTGGTATGTTGTCTTGGAATGAGGACAGTGAGAGCAGGGTGAGGAGACACAGACTTTTCCTTTTATTTTTACAAACCAACAAAAAAAGAACAACAACGAAAAAACTCAGCTTTTCAGCTCTGACCACTCTCTTTCTTGGCTGGGACTTTCAGTCTTTCTTCCTCTGTGTCTCCGCTGGTCTCCTTCTCTCTCTCTCTGGGCTCTCCTCCCTACTGAGAAGAGACATGGCTTTAAATAGGCTGGTAGAGATGACACACAGGTTAAGTGTACCAGCTAGTTAGCCCGCTGGTTCACCATTACAGGCACTCCATCCTGCATGTGATGCTCGTCCACCCCCACCCCCACCCCCGCCTCCACACTAATGTTTTTTAATACTGCCTAATACTGTCTAGATTTAAATATAGATAATATCTGGTCTCACATCAAACACAAACTAGCTTGACAAAGTTTTTAACTATTAGAAGCCATCAGTGCTGAGTGGAACAATATTTACTCTTATTTCTGTAAAGGCTGTTTACCCTTGACTTCAACATTAAAAGAAATCAAAGGAAAATGCTGTCCCATACTTGATCTATTTGTTTAATTCTTCCTAATTTACTGACCAATGATGTTGTTAAGACCATTAAAAGCTTAATTGGCCTATTTTTCTGGGAAATGTACATTATGGAATGATAATGCAAAATATGTGAAATTCCTTTTGGATTTCAGGATTTCTGCAGATCCTTAAAAAAGTCTTGTAAACTCTTAAAATAGAGAAAATTTAAGATCATAAAATGTCTTCTTTTTTACCATTAGTTATATTAAATGTATGAATGTCTGAGCTAAAATAGGCTTGATCCAGTTTGGATCCTTTTCTGTTTTTTTGTCATAAACCGTGTAACGTCTACAGCTCCTGTGTTTCCACTGTTTAAACTTACTGCCTTTTGTCTAAGCGTGGCTCTGTAAAATGCGAGTGTGCTAGAGACTCTAGAGTTTTCTGCCGCTTGTTGCAAGTGATCTTTTGCTGCCACAAAGTTTCAATGACAGAGTATGTGTGAAACAATGTAGCAAGACCGTAGATGATTCATGTCTTTAGTACTACTTAACAAAAATGCTCTCAAACGCTTTTCTCTCTTGGTGGTGGTGCTAAAACGTTACTAAAATACCACTGAAACATCAGTTGTCATAATGTACTATGATATTTTAACCCAGAAAGTGTTATGACAACACCTGTCAACTAGAGAGTTTGTCTGTCTTTGCTGCAGTAACAGTTTCTCTCCTGGGAATTCTTCACACTAGTTTTTGGAACATTGCTGTGAGGATTTGATTGCATTCAACTACAAGAGCACTACTGAGATATTTATGTCGAAATGTTAGCTCTGGATCACATAACCACTCCATGTCGTCCAAAAGCTATTGAATGGAGCTCCATCACTCCAGTGAACACAGTTCCACTGCTCCACAGCCCAATGCAGGGGATTATTGCCCTCTAGTTGACCTTTGGCATTGGACATGATGACCTTAAGCTCATGTGTGGCTGATCCAGAGCATCTACTCTATTAGCTGAGTTTTTTTAAGGAGATTATACAAACGATGTGTGCACGGTTTAACTCATGTGTCAGCAATGGCTTCAACTTTAAAGTAGCTGAATTCACTAATTAGAACGGCTGTCTGGACACTTCTGGGCATAGTGTACCATGTGTCTCCATTCTGCAAGACATTTAAGTGGTGCAGTCCTGTAAGTGGTGTTTGTCTGTAAAAATAACTGTACTTTCACACTTCAGTGTGGCATGTTTTTGCTCTTTGCTTTTTGCAGCAGTAACAGCTTCTGAGAATGAACAGAAGAACCAAGACGTGTATGTGAAATACAGATGACCTGAACTATTATTAATTTTATACTTAAGATATCAAAGATGCTCTACAAATGTAGACTAAAAATACAATACTGAATGCTAATGCAAAATACATGAATTAGGACACATCTCCTTCAGTTTAGTGAGCACAGCCAATGTAAGCAATGATGACTACATGTACACCATGTACGTTTCTTCTGAAGTTAACGGAGCTTGTTCTCCCTTTGCTGTAGTTACAGACTCCTCTTTTCTGGGAAGACTGTACACTAGATGTTAGATTGTTGTGAGAATTTGATTGTATTCAACATCATTAGAGAGGCCAGGTATTGATGTTGAATGATCACTGAATCACAAACTCCACTTCACCACTCTAGATAACACAGTTCCACTTCTCCACAACCCAAGGATCCATATCCCTGTAGCACCTGCTTGGTATTGTTTATGGGTACAGTTTCTTCGGAGCATCCTATTATATTGGCAATGCTTTGTCTCTTTATACAAGCTGTGTGCATGAGGTTAAACTCTTGTGTCATCAGTAAATGCACCTTAAAGTAGCTGAATTTACTAATAATATGCATAATATGATGGGTTGCAAACAGTTTCACAGTGTGCATGTGGCACAGACAGTGGCCCTCATGTGTGATGCTGGCCAGAAGTGTGGTGGTGAGGTTTTGTTCGCAGATTGAGTAGCATATATGTGTATGGTGAAATACACATGGTTATGTCATGCTTAAAGTATGCAGTAGCATTCTAAATTCTTAATTTATGTTCCACAATACCAAAGTAAGACTGAAGTGTTCAGCCCACACAGAAACATAGGGCGCCCATTATTTTACACACTGGACATAGAGTACCATGTGCCTTCATTCAGCAAGACATAAAAGTAGTGCAGGTTTTGTAAGTGGTGTTGGTCTTTAAAAACAGCTGCCTTTCACTTCAGTACAGTACGGTTTTTCTCTCTTCTGCTTTCTGCAGAACAGCTGCCTCTTCTGCAGCAGCAACTTAAGAAAATGTTAGTGATTCAAGTAACAGCAAGAAAAAGCAACTGACATATCATGTGAAATGTTGATGAACTGAACTTTTATTCATGCTGTACTTCAAACATTGATCAGAAAAGGTATCTTATTTGTCAGCATGTACTCTAAAAGCCTTAGGTTAAAGATACTTAGGTTATCAGTGGTTATCATTAAAAGATATCATTATTCATTGCAGTAACGGAAATACTGTGCCTATCTGGGTTCTAGTGGCTGTAGGCCTGGGGCTGTTGCTGACACTGACCATTGTTACAACCTGCATGTTGAGAAAAAAGTGCTGTAAGTATTTACTATCTCCTGTTTTATTACAGGTCGTTTAAACATGCTTTAAGATTTTGCTATTAAAAAGGACAGGATTAAAAACTAATAACAAATGTTTATGTTGTGCTATCTTGTATATTGTGAATGGCCTTTTATTACATAACTACAAGTAGACAACTAATTCATCAATAATGACTAGTGTGTATAATTATCTAATTCACTCCATCTCACTCTAACAGATGGAAATCAAACAGAGACCAGAGAGAGGGTCAATAACACTGCAGTTCACACAGTCAGTATTGTGGTTCTGGTGCAGTTCTGCTCATGGTGCAGTAGTTAGTGTTGTGCCTCTCTTTCTTCAGACTTGTAATTTTTAAATGTCATTTGTTTTTAGAAAAATTAATAAAATACTTTTATGGGACGTTTTTGCTCATCTAGTTTTGACTTTGTGTAAAATCACATTTGTTTGTGTGAAACAGGCACCTATGACTGAAAGCCCAGTGATATACAGTACTGTGATTCATAAAAAGAAAAAGGTAAGGCTTTATTTTTCACACACAACTGTTTATCAGGGGTGTAGACACGAGTAGGCCTAAAGTGGTTACAAGCCCACCCAATCAAATGCTGAAAGAATATTTATTAATGATAATGAAATTTGATTTTTATTAGTACTGTCTTTGTTTTATGGCTGATCAAAATCATTATGCTCTCTGCATCACTCCTGAATGTGTGAGGTTTAGTCCAATTGATCGATCCCAAGCTCTGCCTAATTTTCTCAGCCCTCAAATCACTGCTTAGCAACTGTAATCTGTCATTGCCTCACACTTTCAGTTCTTTCTTATTAAAATATGTACCTGTAGATCTGTAGACTGTCATTTTCTATTCATTTTCAAAGCCACATTTTTATGACATAAGCTAAATGGGTTTTGTCATCAAAAGTAGGACATAAATGGTCCATAAACATTTTCAGTAGTATCAGGCAGTATTTACTCTAAAATGATTGGATTTATGTGTTGTTGTTCCTCTTTTTTGTACATCTCGGCTGTCAGATTTTACCCCAGTTATGTCGTCCTCACTGGGCAAAAGTGTTTGTGGCGCGTGAACGCATGTCTTATAGTGAAGGTGTTGCAGTGTCGGGTGTTTTTATGTGAATCTGGCATTCTAGTTGATGTGTATACAGTTGTGCCATTGTTTTGTATCACTAAAGTGGAAGCGATGACTGCATGTCTGTCAGCAGTAGGCTACTGCCTGATGTTATGACATTGTGGGATATTGTGCATTTGGAAATTGTATCTACCAAGTTGGTCTACCCACTTTTTCACAGATTTTCACACCGAAAACTGACTTCTGCCTACACCACAGCTGTATAAAAATGGTATTTGATTACTGAAATATTAAGAGATTAAGTTAATGAGTAAATTATGTCCACAGCCTTCATCTGCATCGGATCATGAAAATGATGTGATCTACAGCAATGTAACCACAACTACCAAAAAGAAAACTGTAAGTGCAAAATACAGCCTTTTTCACCAGTAACAGCTCACTGTTTTGACCACTTCACAGTTTAAGTTGAGTGGACATTAACTGGTTGAAAGCTTTAAGAGTTTATGAGAAAAAAATATAATTATAGCTTTGATGAATTATTGTTCATTTAGTTTAGCTGGTGAAAGTGCTCAGGGTGGTAGGAATAAGAGATCCTCCTTCATTTCTACACTTGTACTATTTTCCAGCTCTCTCAGGCAGTCGGAGATGATGAGGTGATCTACAGCTCTGTGGTTTTGAAGTAAGAGGTAAGAGAGTCTGAGATCGAGGGTCAAAATACAACAGCTGTGAAATGGCCCGTGATGGACTGTTATTTAAATGAATGGTTCACTGAAAAATCAGTTGTACCCCAAATGTTGTCAGTTGGCCAAGCTAGACTGTATAGACAAAAGTACTGGGACGCCCCTCCTAATTACTGAGTTCAGGTGTTTCAGCCAAACCCATTGCTAACAGGTGGATAAAATAAAGCACATTGCTTTGCAGTCTCGATAGACAAACACTGGCAGTAGAGTAGATCGTACTGAACTCAGTTACTTTAAATGTGGCACTGTTATAGGATGCCACCTCTGCCACAAGTCAGTTTGTGAAATTTCTGTCCTGCTAGATCTGCCTTTGTCAACTGTAAGTGCTATTACTGTGAAATAGAAGCGTCTAGGTGCAATAACAGCTTACCCACAAAGCGGTTTACTACACAAACTCACAGAGTGGGGCTGCTGAGTGCTGAAGCACACAGTGCTTATCCTCTGTTGAATGACTACTCACTAATGAATTCTAAATAGCCTCTAGAAGCAACATCAGCAAAAGAACTGCGCTTTAGGAACAAAATGTGTTTCCATGGCTGAGCAGGTACAAACAAGCCTAAGATCAAAATGTACAATGCCAAACAAGGTGGGAGTGATGTAAAGCACACTCCACTGGACTGGAGCAGTGGAATTCTGTAGAGTAACAAATCACGCTTCTTTATCAGTCAGTCTGATGGATGAGTCTGGGTTTGGTGAAGGAGAATGTTACCTGCCTGACTGCACTATGCTAAGTGTAAAGTTTGGTGGAGGGGGGATAATGCTATGGGGTTGTTTTTCAGAGGTTGGCCTAGGACCACTTAGTTCCAGTGAAGGGAAATCTTAATGCTTCAGCAGACCAAGACATTTTGGACAATTCTATGCTTCTAACTTTGTGGGAACAGTTTGGGGAAGACCCTTTTCTGTTCTAGCATTACTGAGACTTAGTGCACAAAGCAAGGTCCATAAAGGCATGGCTGGGTGAATTTGGTGTGGAAGAACTTGACTGGCCCTCACAGAGCCCTGACCTCAACCCCATCAAAACACCTGTGAGATGAACTAGAGCAGAGATCACAAGCTTGGCCCTCTCGTCCAACATCAGTGTCTGACCTCACAAATGGTCTTCTGGATAAATGGGCAAAAATTCCCACAGACACACTACAAAATCTTGTAGAAAGCTTCCCAGAAGAGTGGAAGCGGTTATAGCTTCAAAGAGGGTACCAACTCTATATTATTGCCTATGGATTTAGAATGAGATGTCATAATGGATGTAATATGTAGGTGTCCCAATACTTTTGTCCATATAATGTATGCTTGGTGTCCCAAAATCTATTTGGGTGAGATAAGCAAGGCAAGACAAGTTTATATATATAAGCGCATTAAATACATAAAGGCAATTCAATATGCTTTACATAAATGAAAGAGAGAGGGCGTAAGTCTTGTTGAAATTAGCTTGTTAAGGGTAAAGTGCAGTATAAATAGAGATTTAGAGCTCCATTAAATCACATGGAAAAGAGGAATGTTTTTAATATAGATTTAAAAATCATTACATGTGAGGCACATCTAAGATCTTCTGACTTTGGTCACCAAACATGTTTTTGCCATTAAAGCATTTTTGGAATCATTAGAAAATTATGACAATTTGATTTGTCGGTTTTCCTTTTATCTGTTTTTATTACAGGTGTAAGCGAGTGTGTTTCTGGCCAAATCTCTTACAAAGAAGATACTGTAATGCAAGTCATCTCACAATGGAATGTGTACTATATATTAGGGGGCATTTCTGATAAAAATGGTTTCACTTCAAGACTTTAGCTTAAGGTTTTTACTTCCTGCTGATTCAAATTATTTCTACCTGTAAAAAGCCTTTCAGAAGTACCTGCAGCTACACTGCATATAAGCATGCAAACTTAAAGGAACGGATTGGTCAAAAATCAAGTTAACACAATTTTTCACTTACCTCAGACGTTGTTGATCAGTCAAGTTTAGTGTCCAAATGTTGCTTCTTTAGTTTAGTGCTGGAGCTACAAGGTTAATATTGCTAACAAGCACTGAAAGTCAATAGTCACCCAAATCTTTTCCATAAATACATCCTCAAAATGTCTCTCAACCCCTTCAAAACACATCTAGGTCTTTATTACAGTTGTGCAGACTTGTCGATTGTCCACTCCACAGGTGTTGTGCTGAATTCTGACTCCCCCACAGAATTCGACTCCCTTTTGCATGCATGCACACCACACTGACATGTGGAGGCTACATTAGTGATTTCTGTTTAAATTTTTAAACATAATCTCCAGGTTAAAAGCTCATGTTAGGAGTATCTCACTCTTGGAGTGTGACTCAGAGTTGTTGTTGCTACTGTGTTTGTGGTTGTTTGTGGATGTGAAAGTATAGGCCATTCTGATAATAGACATGTTCATCTTGACCTTTTAGCCAAAGTGGATGTTTTACTTTGTACTGGAATTCTTAGAAGTCTCATCACTGTTTACTTTTCATCCTAATAATCTGTGAAATGCTGTAATAATCACTATTTTTTACACTGTTTTAACATGTGATTAGATTATAGTGCAGTGTATGCTTTAAGCAGTGTGCGGTTTTGTGTGCAGTGTGTGTTCTTAGCAGTGTGCAGTTGTGTGTGCAGTGTATGTTCTAAGCAGAGTGCAGTTGTGTGTGCAGTGGGTGTTCTTAGCAGTGTGCAGTTGTGTGTGCAGTGTATGTTCAAAGCAGTGTGCAGTTGTGAGTGCAGTGTATGTTCTAAGCAGTGTGCAGTTGTGTGTTCAGTGTATGTTCTAAGCAGTGTGCAGGTGTGTTTTGTCATTGTGCTTCTACTACAGGATGCAGTTGTAGTTTATTCACAATAACCACTGAGAATTATTTTCTGTCTGTGATGTAAGAAAGTGAAATAACTCAGTAATGACAATAAATGATGAAAGTGTAACAGTGTACCTTGTTCTGATAGTTCACATGTTAAAATGAATTCCTGATGTAAAAGAGGCAGAGGCAGTGGGGGCAGGCAGTTTGACAGATCACTGACCACAACAGACCACACCACCTTGCGAATTTCAGCAACACCACTGGTTTGCTTATAGCAAGACTGATTCATCTGTTACTTTAGACAGTACTGTGGGAAATCAATATATTGCACAAAGCAGGAAACAAAATTTTAAAATGATATCAATAAAAACAATTAATTATAGCTCAGGAAGCATTATACAAACACACACACACACACACACACACACAAACACACATCATCTAAAACGCTTATCCTTCTGGGTCGGGGTGGGGTGCTGGAACCTATCCCAGCTGTGATTGGGTGGAAGGCAGGATACACCCTGGACAGGTCGCCAGTCCATCGCAGGGTAGACAGACAGACATACACATTCTCACACACACTCACACCTAGGGGCAATTCAGCATGTCCAATTGGCCTGACTGCATGTTTTTGGACTGTGGGAGGAAACCGGAGTACCCGGAGGAAACCCACGCAGACACGGGGAGAACAGGCAAACTCCACACAGAAATGACCCTGGTTGCCCGGCCGGGAATCGAACTCAGGCCATTCTTGCTATGCATTATGCTTCCGTGCCGCTGGAAGCATAATAATAAAATCAAAATAATTTTAAAAAGACAAACAAATTAAACAAAATATCAACAATCTGTCAAATCTAGTTTGTATTTTGTTCTTGGGTAAGAAAGTAACCATGTGTTTAAAAATCATTATTGAGGAGCAGATTCAGTCAATTTTAAAATGTATTCTGTATGAAACAGTTGCTGCCAGTACAAGAGTAATATGCTCATTCAAGTAGAACATCACAAAATAGATCAAGAAAAAAAATCCAAAAGTGATTAATTTTAAAAATTAATATTCAGAAAGGAACTGCTCTGCTCTGGTAAGATACCACAGACACTTGTCTTTTAGTGCCACTGAATATTAAGGTAATAATTTCAATACAACAACTGTTACAACAAATATGCTGAGAAATCAGAATGTACATTAGTAAGCTGTAAATCTTTTAACAGCAGCACACAGAGCAAAAACAGTTTTTCTGCTCTTTTGTTGGAAAGTCATCACAGCCTGAGGTAGTTCACAATCAGGCCAGTAGGAGGCAGAGCATACTAATAGTGTGATGGTCTAAAGCAGTGTTTCTCAGCCCTGGTCCTGGAGGCCCACTGCCCTGCACATTTTGTGCTTTTCCTGCTTTAACACACCCACTTTAACTCAATAATGAGCTGATAACAAGCTGATTAGTTGGCTCAGGTGTGTAGGGAACAGAGAAAACACTAAAAAGTGCAGGACAGTGGGCCTCCAGGACCAGGGGTCAGAAACACTGATCTAAAGTGCTCAGCAGCTTTTGTGCCTTATGTTTTAATGTTATGTCTTAATGCCAGTGTAGAGTTAATTTGAATGTTAGTCTTCTTTTTGGGAACACAGGGGGGGGACATGTTTTTGTTTTTTGAAGACGGTTTTTTGTTTGTTGTTTTCAAAACAACAAAGAAGGAACTTACAGAAACCCTGGAAACTCAGGGATGTTTCTTAGATGTTTCAATAAGCAGATAAAGGGCTCTGGGAACACAAGGATGACCTCCACTGGGGAAGAACTACAAATTACATACGCATCACACCTGTTGGTCCAGATTCTCTTTTATACGTCTGTAAGATGTTTGAAGTAGGTTTAATCAAAGTAGCAGCCTGTCGCCATGGGCAGGCATTAGGAGCCTGGGCCTAGGCAATAAGCTAAGGACAACTTATAATAAAAAGGGCTATGCACCATACTTACACCAGATAAAGACATTATTCACAAAATTTATGTACACTACACTCTAATTTCCTTGGGTGAACCCAGAACCCTAATCATGACCTTAGGAACCCTTTTATAGGCTTCCTTAATGTGTTACATTGAGGTTTGGTCATTGGTATAACATGTATGCAAAGGTTTTGGACTAGGACCCAAAA